CAAACAACATAGGAAAGTTCGAAATTTAAAACCAGAAAACAATTGAGACGAATTATTGGAACTGCTTTCTCAAATATACATTTCTTGTGGTTTTAAAAAACAAAATTACTTTTATAGACTAACTGTAATTAAATCAATATAAATATACTCTATTATTGAATAGATATTGATCTGATTAGTCTGTTGATATTAAAAATGTATATGACAATTTAAATCATTTGATTATTTATCTTCAATATTTTTTATAAAAATTATGTGGTTCATTGTGTAATAACTTGCTTTATTTGTTTGACGAAATATAAATTTAAAATTGTTGAATAAACAATTACCATTTTTATTTTTTTTCTTGGAATTTTTTTAATAACATTATTAAAACCTTTTTACAAATTATATTTATTTTTAAGTTTGCTTGAATTATAAAAAACTCTAACAAAATATAATAACAAAACATATAACAATTATTGTGTTTGCAAAAACGCGGGCTGGGTAAATTTTATTTTCCCGTTGCAACCGCAGTTTTCCTTACCAATATCCCAAAATAAAACGCGCGGGCCGGAAGTCTAAATTACAGTATAATCCGGGTTTAATTCACTTAAAATATTTTGGAATTATCGGGTTTAATTCCACTTTTTCCAAGAAAAATTTTTTAAATGATTTTTAAAACAAAAATAATTGATGGAATTAACTTTTGGTAGTTTCATAGTTATAATATTTTAATAATTATTTGATTAAACCAAAAACAAATGATGATTTGTTTTTGGTTTTTTTGTAAAGGCTTTTTCATCGTCTCTAAAAATAAAGTTTTTTTAAAACTATTTACAGTATGTGAGAATAGTATGTGAGAATACTACCAAAACCCTGTGGATTCAACAAAAGTTACAATTGTGTAACTTTTATGTAATAAAATTATTATTTTTTTATTTCAAAAAATTCATAAAGATCAAATAAAAAAATCACTTATTTACAGTTCATTTTCTCTTTCAATTTGTTTGGAAACCTACAAAGCAGCTTTCAGAGTGTGAACAGCCAGCCAGCACTTACCAACTAACTGACTCAGACCTCACGCTAAAGAATCCCAGGAATACTGGACAAATCAGCCATAGCAGCTAGACGATTCAAAGCAGGCAACGTTTAATTTAAAAGTCTTTACGAGCAAGTTCTACAAGTTATTATCTTCATAACAAAAGAACTTTTAACAAACGAATCTCTTCTATTGGAAGGACTTATGACAGTTCAGACATATGTTGATTCAAACAGTGACCATTCTGACCTGTGATAGGAAACAGTAATGTGAACTCGGCGATACAACTGATTAAAAAGATAAAAATCAATTGATTAAATTCTCAACCCCATTTTTAGTTCTTTTTGAGATTTTTTTGGTCGTCTTTTTCTTCACAACTTTACATACAACATCCCGTTCTTTTCTTTTTAACGGCTTGCAAACAGACTGACA